GAACCAGCCACAAAGTAGATGGAACCAGGTGGCCAAGGGGCTGGGCCCTGTACTATGGAAGGATGGGAATATGGAGCCAGCATTCTTAGTGACAGAAAATGTGCTCCACAGCCTCCCCAGCCCAAATGCCCAGTCCAGGAGGGCAGGGCAGTGGGTACACAAGGTCCCTGGGTCCTTTCCTTTCTGAGCCAGAAGTGAATACAGCTCCCTTTCCTGTTGGGGCAGGAGAGGCACACAAAGGGTCCTCTCCACATGACAGACACCCTTGCCCACATATTTGCCCTCAGCCTTGCCAGCCCCCTGCCTGGCTCAGACTTTGAGGACACTGATCTCCAATGCAGAACCCCCCAAATGCTCCCCAGGGCCTACCCAGCACCTAGGGAAGAAGTAAGAGAATTACTATTTATGACTGGGGGCATACTATTTATGGTGGGTCAGCAGTACAACTCTCGGCTTCTGTTCTGGTTACCTAGTGCCACTGACAAGAATATACCATAAATGGTATATTAACAACCATTTAACATTTAACCTTAACAAACAAGAGTTTATTCTTACAATTTGGAGGCTTTAAGTCCAAGTTCAAGTGCCAGGCTCTAGGGGCTGGGTGAAAGCCCCTCAGCCTTGGGGTCCAGCTCTGCTTCCAGCTCCTGTCCTGCTGAAGCTAGAGGCTTTTCTTCACTCAGACAGCTGCTGGCTGCTGGCTGCTGAGGCTGAGAAGCCCCAAGGTTGACAAGTAAAAAGGCACAGTCCCCATGTTACCAAACCACATGGCAGGCCATTAACTTAAGTCCATTGTAAGTCCCAAGGTCGGCAGAGCATAGCAGGCTGCTGAGCAACGACACAGCTACATGCAGGGTCCAAGCGTGCCATAAGCTAGAGACCATTCCCAAGGCTTTTGCTTATATACAGGAAGCAGACCACATCCCAAAGGCAGCTACTCAGCTGCTTGTGGTAGATCCCACCACGGAGCTGATTGCCAGTCTCATCATGGGGAATAACTACCACCAGCTGCCCAACCACTCAACCAGGCCCAGCCAAGTTGACACAAAAACATAACCACTACAGCTTCCATGTATGAGATCCAGACAATGGTCTGATCCCATTATTGTGCGGTCCCCATGAGTCAGACTCGAAGGCAACTAACAACATTTATGATTGTTTTGAACTATGCTTTTAAAAATAGCCATTTTTGTGTGGCTACCACTGTCAATCACTTGGAAATAGATCAGTGCAGGAGATTCTGGATAAAGTGGGAGAACAACGTGGAACAAAACTCAAGATGATTTAAAAAAAAAAAAAAGGCCAGGTTTGCTGGTCTGATAGAGCTTGGTGAGACCCCTGAGACTGTGGCCCCTAGTTATCCTTCAGGTTTGGAATTGAACTCACTTCTGTGGCTTCCAGCCAAACAATAGACAGGCATGTGGGATGAACGTTTATGTCAGGTAGATACACTCCTTAGAATGATGTTCTGGTTACCTCTGTGCTGCTCTAACAGAAAATACCACAAATGGGATGGCTTTAACAAACAGGAGTTTATTCTCTTACAGTTTTGGAGGTTAGAAGTGTGAGTTCCAGGTGCCAGGCTCTAGGGGCTGGGTGAAAGCCCCTCAACCTTGGGCTTCAGCTCTGCCTCTAGCTCCCAGCCCACTGAAGCTGGAGGCTTTCTTTACTCAGGCAGCTTCTGGCTGCTGGGGCTAACAAATCCAAGGTTGACAAGTAAAAAGGCACAATTCTGATGTTACCAAACCACACGGCAGACCATTAATCAAGTCCATTGAAAGTCCCAAGATTGGCAGAGCACAGCAGGCTACTGAATGAAGACTCAGCTACATGCAGGATTCAAGTGTGCCATAAGCTGGAAACCTTCCTCAAAGTTACTTCTTATATACTGGAAGCAAATCACATCCCTAAAGCAGCTACTCAGCTGCTCCAGTAGATTCCACCATGGAACTAATTGCCAATCTCACCATGCGGAATAATAACATCCAGCTGCCCAGCCACTCAATAGGCCCAACCAACTTGACACACAAACTTAACGACCACAACCAATCATGGAAGAACAGAAGGGCAGTATTTGCACAGGGAGACAGCTCAGGGGGCAGGAATATATAGGAAGGACACAGGGAAGAGGTGACTACAGGGAGGAAGTAGGAAAAGATCTGTTACACTGTGGGGACTGCAGTCAATGTCATGAAACAAAATGTGTATAAACTGCTGTCTGGAAAATGAATTTGCTTTGCAAACTTTTGCCCAGATCACAATAAAAAAAAATTTTTTTAATTTAAATATTTATTTTTGTATATTACACTAGGTCTTATTCCCAGAGATGGTTGTATTAAGTCTTCAACTCCAAGAGCCATTTTAACCCTATAGTTTTGTCAGTTATTATTTTATAAATAAATTCAGTCTCACATGGTTCTATAGATGCAAATATGTTCAGAATTATTATTATTTTTTTTTTACCTATTGGTCCTTTTACTAATATATAAAGTCCTTTTTTGTCTCTTTGATATTTTTCATGTTGAATATTATTTTGTCTGAAATTACAATTGCTACCCTAGTGTTCTCTTTAGTTCATATTTGTACACCTTTATCTTCAACCTCAAATATTTTTAACATCTCTTGTAGACAATATATTGCAAATTTTTTAAAATGAAAGGACCAGTAAAATCCACATGAAATATGGAGAAGTGAAAGTGCCAGTGTCTATCTGTGTGTGTGTTTCTTTCACACAGAGGTCTTGTGGGAGTTCCTTGACCTGGTGTTTCACCACTAACTCATTCTCTAGCTGTGTTCTGTTTTACACTTGGGGTTGCCATGAGTTGGATCAGCCCAACTGCAACAACAGCAAATTATGTACTTTCAACTTTCATTTCCATGATCTCTAATACTTTTTTTATTGTTATTTTATTGTGATTTGCATGAAAGTTTACAGAGAAAATTCATTTTCCGTACAGTAGTTCACATACACTTTGTCTCATGACATTGACTGCAATCTCCCACAATGTAGCAGCTCTCCTCCCACTTCCTCCCCATAGTTACCTCCTCCCTGTGTCTTTCCCTCCCATGTACTCCTGCCCCCTGAGCTGTTTCCCTGTACATAAACAGCCCTTCTATTCTCCCATGATTGATCTCTCCAAGGAGCGTATCTACCTAATATAAATATTCAGCTCATACGCCTATCTTTTGTTTGGCTGAAAGCCACAGAAGTGGGTTCAATTCCAGACCTGAAGGACAGCTAGGGGCCATAGTCTCAGGGGTTCCACCAGGCTCTATCAGACTAGCAAAGCTGGTTCCCTCCCCCCGCTTTTTTTTCCAAATGATTTTGAGTTTTGTTCCACATTGTTCTCCCTCTCTATCCAGAATCTCCTACATAGATCCCCCTCCAAGTGGTTGACAGTGGTAGCCAGGTGCCATGTAGTTCTTCTGGTCTCATAGTCATATAGGCTGAGGATTGCATGGTGTACCAGTCACTAGGACCAATTGTTTCCATGAATCTTTCGTTTTCTTCATTCTTCTTTGCTCTGGATGAGGAGAGACCCATCATTGCATCTAGATAGCTGTTTGCAAGCTTTTAAGATCTCAGTTGCTACTCACCAAAGTAGGATGTGGAACAATGTTTGGGTTTAGTACGTTACGTCAACTGGGCTTGATGTCCCCTGCAACCATGCTCCCGAGCCTACATGTCCAACTACTTGCTCCCTCTGAGTAGCTGGCTGTGGCCAAGAAGTGACTACAACCTTGTCCCTTGTGGGCTCTACTATATACCTGGAAATTCTTACAGAACGTACAAATACACTTGTAGAAACATTGTCTGCTTATGGGTATACTCCCTCCTGCATGTTGTTGTTGTTGTTCAGCCTGTTCATCCATCTATCCACTCATATACCAATGTTTGCCATCACTGACAATGCAGTACTGTGTAATTCATACTTCTTTTTGTAACTTCTAATTCTTGCTTCACATTTCCAGTACCCACCCCCTATCTTCTGCCAGGTTCTTCTGTCAGGGGCAAGGTGGTGCATAGAGGCTATGTGACTGTTAGGTACGAAGCAAAAGTCCATCCCCAACAAAACATCTTTATTTCACAAATAAACAAACTGAGGCCCAGATGGGGAAGGAGGTTACTCAAGGTCATAGAGTAAGCCAACAGCAGAACCAAACTATAGCGTGATTCCCAGCCCAAGAATCATTCCATGCCATGCCTGTTCAAGATTGACTTAAACTAACTAGATAGCCATATCAAAACAAACGAATCTTATCTTCTACCTCATACCAAACACAGAAAACAATTCCAGATGGATTATTGATTTAATTGTGAAAAGTCAAAAATTAAAAAGCTTCTAGAAGGTAACATAGGGTAATAATTTGTGGCTTTGAGGTAGGCAAACATTTGTTAAACAGAGCACAAAAAGTGCTAACTAATCATAAAGGAAAAGATTGACAAGTTGAACTATAAAGCTGAGAAGTTACATTGACCAATAGATCCCATTTAGAGAGTGGACAATGCTCATCGAGGCACTTCTCACAAAGGCAAACGGTGCAAAGCACTGAAGTCCATCAACAGGAAGAACAAACTATGACGCACATACAACGGAGTATTATTCAAACAAAAAGAAAAAGGAAGGCCTGACATGCTACAACATGAACCTTGAAAACATTATGGAACAAAATAAATCAGTCACAAAAGGACAAATACTATAATCCCACAAATATGAGATATCTGGAATTAGCAAATGCATAGAGACCAAAGTTTATTAGTGGTTATCAGGGGCAGGAATGAGGGGAAAAGGGTGGGCTACTGCTTAGGGGGCCCTGAGTTTCTGTTCAGTGTGACAGAAAAACTTGGGCATCTTGGTGGCATTCCCAGTAGCCTGCCCTGTGCTGACCCAGAATTACTGGTTATCACTGGTGATCACAAGGGCAAACAGTCCCAGGCTTATAAAGGTCTGTGGAGCTGTGGGAGAGCATTCCAGCTCTTCATTCCAGCACGTCTGGCCATGGGGCTGCCCAAGACCCTCCTCATCCTCTCCTGCCTGTGCCTCGGCCTAGGTTCTGGCCAGTATGCTCCAGACCTCATCACCTCCTTGCCTGGCCTCTCTACTCAGCTCAACTTCCTACAATGGTCCGGCTACCTCCAGGCTGGGGAGGGCAAGTACTTTCACTACTGGTGAGCAGCTAAGGGTAAAGGGTTCATTCCAGGAGGATGGCAGAAGCCAACAGGGATTGCTGGCTCCCCAAAGCTCCACAGCATGCACACGTGGCCAGAACGGTGGGAGTCTTATCACTCAGTCCAGAGCAGGTCACCTGGGAGACCAGATCACTGCCAAGGGTGGGTCTTTTGCCCCTGCCCTACCACTAAATAGCCAGGGGAACTGGGCCAAGAACTTTGGAGCCAGTAAAGCTGAGAGGTCATGGTCCATAAGTGCCCAAATACCAGCACATGGAGAATGAGACAAATAAGAGCAACACAATATATGTCAGTAAGAGGTAGCTAAAAGGAGCCTTGGTGGCACAGTAGTTAAAGCGCTTGGCTGTGAGCCAAAAAGTCAACAGCTTGAAACCACCAGCTGCTCTGTAGAAGAAAGATGTGGCAGTCTGCTCCTGTAAAGATTTACAGCCTAGGATACCCCATAGGGCAGTCCTACTCTGTCCTATAGGGTTGCTATGAGTCAGACTCAATAATAATCAGTTTGGTTTGGGGTTTTTAAGCTCTTCTTTCTTAGAAAAGACTGTCCTTTATTTTGTTATATGCTTACTAATTTTCAGTATCCAAATTGCTTTTATGAAAGATAACTGAAACTAAGTTTTAAGACAATAGTATAAATGAGATTTTTTGAAAAATAAAATGCTCATACTTAGAAAATAAGATTTCAACTCTATATAACTCTCAACCCACCTTTCTTTTTGTAGGGGCAAATTGAAATTTTATTTATCCATGAAATCCCCAAATCTGGGGATCTGCTCTAATCCAACATTTTCTAAAATGAGGAGGAATCTGGGGCTTCGTTCAGGAAGATGACTTGCTAGGTCACCCAGCAGTTACTGGCAGCCTGGAGCCAGGCCTGCAAACTCCCAGTCCAAGGCTTGGTCTCCTCTGCCAGGCTGTTTAAATTGTGTGCCCTTTGTTTCCTCCTGTTTCCCCAGTGCTCATTCTAGAGGACAGGGAAAGAGGGAGGGAGGTGGGTAAAGTGAGGAGCTCTGGGATTCTCCTCTATCCTTTTTCCCAAAAAGAACAGACTTGGTAGTGACCAAATTTCTGAAAAAGCAGAGTAGGAGCTGGCCACCCATGGTAGAGTACGCCAAGTCAGTCCCTCCGCTGGCCCTCCAGCCCTCTCCCCTCCAGGTGGGCTGTGATCATGGGAAAAGGAATCAAGGAGGAGCTGTGGTGGGACCCACAAGGAATCTCAGCTCATCGGCCTTCAACAGTCAGAAGAAGTAAAGTATGAGAGAGATGCCCACATTCTCTGAGGATCACAGCTCTCAGGTGTGGGCAAAATTATTTGCTTTCATCATCTGAGTTTGTTGTTGTTGTTGTTTAGTGCCATCGAGTCACTTCTGATTCACAGCAACCCTATGAACAACAGAATGGCACGCTACCCAGTGCCACACCATTCTCACAATCATTCCTGTGTTTGAGCCCGTTGTTGCTGCCACTGTGTCAGTCTACCTCATAGAGGGTCCTCCTCTTTTTCGCTGAGCATCCACCTTCCAAGCATGATGTCCTTCTCCGGGGATTGGTCTCTCCTGATAACATGATCAAAGTTCAAGAGATAGAGTCTCACCATCCTCACTTCTAAGGAACATTCTGGCTGTGCTTCTTCCCAGACAGATTTGTTCGTTCTTCTGGCAGTCCAATATATTCAATATTCTTGGCCAACACCGTCGTTCAAATGCACCAATTCTTCTTCAGTCTTCCTTATTCATTGTCCAGCTGTCATATGCATATGAGGCGACTGAAACTATCATGGCTTGGGTCAGGTATTCGTCTTCAAAGTGACATTTTTGCTCTTTAACACTTTAAAGAGGTCTTTTACACATTTACCTAATGCAAGACGTCATTTGATCTCCTAACTGCTTTTTCCATGAATATTGATTGTGGATCCAAGTGAAATGAAATCCTTGACAACTTGAATCTTTTCTCCATTTATCATGATGTTGCTTATTGGTCCATTTATTCGAATTTTTGTCTTCTTTATATTGAAGTGTAATCCATACTGAAAGCTGTAGTCTCTGATCTTTATCAGTAAGTGCTTCAAGTCTTCACTCTCAGCAAGCAAGGTTATGCCACCTTCATATCTCAGGTTGTTAATTAGTTTTCAATCCTGATGCTTGCTCTTCTTCTCATCGAGTCCACCTTCTCAGATTATTTGTTCAGCATATGAATTGAATAAGTATGGTGGAAAGATACAACCCTGACGCACACCTTTCCTGATTTTAGACCATGCGGTATTCAATTTTTCTGTCTGAGTGACTGCCTTTGGATCTATGTATGGGTTCTTCATGAGCACAGTTAAGTATTGTGGAATCCCCATTCTTCACAATGATCTCTTCTCAGTCTCCCAGTGTCAGGAACTAACTCCAATCTTCGAGCTGCAAACCTCTTCCCTCTAACTCAGCCTCACCACACTGAACTCCTCCTTCTGGACTGAGCCTGCGCCCTGGCTCCCAGGCCTGCTTCCTCCAGCACTGACCTACTGTGTGACCCTGGGCAGGTCCCTTTACAGTCAGCTCTCTGGTACCTCATTAAGGAATGAGACAGTACCATTCTATGGTCCTGGATATCCTGCCACTCCTGAGGTCCCCAAGGCTAGTCCTGGTCCCTCCTTCTTCTGGGTCTAGGGGGCTTGGGGCCTAGCCTTGCCTCCCACCCCTTTTAACCTGGATATCCTTGGGGCTAGGACCCAAGCCCCCTTGAGCCAGGAAAGGCAGAGACCAGAAGCAGCCTCGGGGACCTCAGGAGCAGCAGGATATCCAGGTTAAAAGGGGCGGGAGGCAAGGCTAGGTCCCAAGCCCCCTAGAATCAGGAAAGGGAGGGACCAGGAACAGCCGGGGACCACAGAGTGGCAGGTTTCAGGTAGGAATTAGGTAAGAGGAGGGTGCAGAGGTTTCCAACAGCTAAGGGAGACAAACTTGTCTGTCAGTTTGTCATTCTGTGAGGCTTGTATGTTGCTGTGAGGCTTGAGGCTGTGCCACTGGTGTTTCAGACACCAGCAGAGTTGCACATGGTACACAGGTTTCAACACAGCTTACAGACTAAGAAAAAGGAGACCATCTACTTCTCAAAAATTGGCCAGGGAAAACCTTATGAATAGCAAAGAAACACTGTCTGATACATTACTGGGCAACTTTATGAATAGCTTGGAAACATTGTCCAACACAGTGCAGGAGGACTAGCCCCTTGGGTTGGAAGGCACTTAAAACGGGACTGGAAAAGAGCTGCCTCATTAGAGTAGAACCAACCTTAGTGATATGGATAAAGTAAGTCTTTCAGGACCTCCATGTGCTGACATGGCATGACTCAAAATGAGGAGAAATAGCTGCAAACATCCATTAATAATCAGAACATGGAACGTATGACATATGAATCTAGGAAAATTGGAAGTTGTCAAAAATGAAATGGAATGCATAAAGATTGATATCCTAGGCATTAGTGAGCTGAAATGGACCAGTTTTGGTCATTTTGAATCAGACAACCATATGATCTACTATGCTGGGAATGACAAATTGAAGAGGAATGGTGTGGCATTCATCATCACAAAAGATGTTTCAAGATCTGTCCTGAAGTACAATCCTGTCAGTGATAGGATAATATCCATACGCCTACAAGGATGGCCAGTTAATACGACTATTATTCAAATTTATGCACCAACCACCAAAGCCAAAGATGAGGAAATTGAAGATATTTATCAACTTCTGCAGTCTGAAATTGACTGAACATGCAATCAGGATGTGTTGCTTATCACTGGTGATTGGAATGCAAAAGGAAGAATCACCAGTAGTTGGAAAATTTAGCTTTGGTGACAGAAATAACACGAGATCGCATGATAGAATTTTGCAGAACCAACGACTTATTCATTGCAAATAACTTTTTTCAACAACACAAATGGTGGCTATACATGTGGAATTTGCCAGAAGGAGTACACAGGAATCAGACTGACTATATCTGTGGCAGAGGTGATAGAAAAGCTCAGTATCTTCAGCCAAAACAAGGCCAGGAACAGATTGTGGAACAGACCATCAACTGTTCATGCAAATTCAACTTGAAGTTGAAGGCAATTAAAACAAGTCCATGAGAGCCAAAATATGATCTTGAACATATCCCTCCTGGATTCAGAGACCATCTAAAGAATAGATTTGATGCACTGAACACCAATAACCAAAAACCAGAAGAACTGTGGGATGACATCAAGAGCATCATCCATGAAGAAAACAAGAGGTCATTAAAAAGATGAGAAAGAAAGAAAAGCCCAAAATGGATGTCAGAAGACACTCTGAAACTTCCCCTTAAGC